CTGCGTTTAGTTTAGAAACGTAGCACAGTGTCATAAGACAATGAGCCCTTGTCCATGTCGCATTGCTCGTCCCCGATCAAGTCACTTTCTGATCCAAGCGCCTACGATCCTAGAGCTGTGTGCTTGTCACATTCACACTGCGAGATCCAGCGTCTGTCCTTTATATGTCAGATACTTTGTTCTTACCGTGTGCTATGTATTTCACGCAGCTGAAATAGCTCAGTTGGAAGGGCGTTAGAGTGAAGATCTAAAGGTCCCTGGTTCAATCCAAGGTTTAGGCATTTTGCCAGCAGCTCTGTCACCCTGCAGCTCCCAGCTGGCAGCCCCCACTGGAGCTCAGCAGGTGGGAGCCTGGTCAGTCCCTGGATGGGAGACTCCTGGGAAAGTTCAGATTGCTGCTGGAAGAGGTGTTATTGGGGCCAGCAAGGGGCGCTCACCCTGTGGTCTGTGTGGGTCCTAATGCCCCAGTATAGTGACGGGAACACTATACTGTAAAAAAGGCACCGTTCTGCGGATGAGTGTAAAACCGAGGTCCTGACTATCTGGGGTCATTAAAAATCTCAGGGGGTTTCTTGAAAAGAGTAGGGGTGTTACGCTGGTGTCCCGGCTAAATCATTACCAATCATGGCCATCTAATAGTCCCCCTCTCTGAACTGGCTTCATCACTCTGTTCTCCTCCCCACTGAGAGCTGGTGTGTGGTGAGAGTACTGGAGCATCGTCCAGGTGGGGCTGCACACTGCTGGTGGTGGAGGGGATCCCCATTACCTGTAAAGCACTTTGAGTGGAGTGTCCAGAAAAGTGCTATATAGATAGATAGATAATACTTTATTAATCCCGTAGGGAAATTGACGATAAATATAAATATAAGTGTAAGCAATTATCTATATCTAATTATTAATATTATTAATATTATTATTATTATTCAAATACTCGATATTTCCGACTTTATATTTCAAAGCGCAGGACCGAGGAGCTGTAGAAAGAAGAAACACAAGCTGGTGAAATCAAGCGCTGTATTAACGTGGAGCTACAGTAGGAGTTGCTCCTGTTAAAGCACGTTGAGCGAGTGTGCTCTTCATCCCTGTCTCGCATCTTATTTGGAAGTTCTGGAAAGGACTATCAAATAAGACCATAAGACCGGCGGCGCCGCGAGGCTGTGGAGCTGCTGCTCCCGTCTCGGGCGCTGTCCTTATTTAAACATTTGTGCGGCGTGGGAGGGGAGGGGAACGTCGAAGGGGAGGCTCATTTGTTTATAAATGCCGGCATTTTTTTTAAGTTGTATGTTATTTAACTAGTTGTTGTTGTTGCTGCTGTCCTGTGTTCATGTTTTGGGTGATTCCTTTAACGTCTTTGTATCGGAGCCCACATGCAAAGAAGCATTCCACTACACTTGTGCACATGACAGATAAACCGAACTGGGAGCAGACGCCCAGTCGCTGGGCTCCCTCTCTCCCCATACATGGTGTCGCCAGGCTCTGCGTTTACTCTCTGCCTGCTGAGGTTTACGTTAACCCAGTTCGGCCCGAGACTCCGAGCTGCCTCCGGCCTGCAACAGGTTGAACTTCGGACGCTCCTGCCCCCCCCCACCCCCACCCCCACCCCCTCTGCGACTTGACACGTTCCCGAAGGGAGGATTTAACCCCAGCCCCCTTCCCCTTTTTCCTTACTTTCCTCCATTATTGTCCCAGATGGGAAACCCATTAACATGTGCGATGAGAAAGATGAGTAAAAGACCCCATCCGTTGTCCAAATTAAGCAGGCTGATATCCATGGGAGTAAAGGGTATTTGTCCGTCCTGAGAATCGCTTTGAGCGAAGCTCCTCCGAAGCTTTTTTTTTTTTTAAATGAAGAAGTTCTTCAGCTGTGGCTGGGCCAGCTAAGTAATCAGGAACAGAAACACTGAGTCAGGCGTGCCTTGCCTGTGCAGAAGGG